ACGGGCCGCTTGTCGGGTACCCAAATTTCAGCTTCGAGCAGTCACGATATTTGATGTAGTCTTCAAGTCAAAATTTCTGATCCAAAAACATACATCGGTAATAGTACTCAATCGGTTGTGGTTGAGGTATTTGCTGAGCGATGAGTTGAGGAGGAGGTTGGGCTATTTGCTGAGAATAGTGATGACCATAGGAGGGTTGATAGCCGCCACTGGATCCGCCACATCCTTGACTTGTATAACACTGTGTGTCCACACTGAGAATGAAACTCAGCACCACCAAAAGAACATTCATCGTCCTGGACCCAAAAGAATCCGTCCTCGGCACTGTAAAAGAAAAAATGGAGCTATGGGCCCAATTTATTTACCTGTGAAACAGAGTGCTTCGTTTGCGGATATTATACAATAGAAGTCGAAAGAACTGGTGCAGTGCAATGCAAGGGGTATGGAAGAAACCTATGGGGTCTTATACGAGAGTTGGGCTCAAACAGACTGTGCACGATGGCAGAACGATGGCATTGAGGAGTGAAAGGCTGGGGGAGGACGATGAACGCGAAACAGGTCGGCGACGAGGCAAATGCGCTTGAGCGCGATTCAGCGCCTTTATAGGGGAGCACGGTGGTGAACGCCGTCGGCAGCAGCTGCATCACGGCTACAAGGCCAGTTCTAGTCGGCTAGTCGGATATCCGCAAATCCGTCGTTTGTGGAAGGATGAGCCGCGTCAGAAGAGTTTCACCACCCTGCCTTTGAGAGGATAATTGCGGTTGACGACGACGGAGGGGTCGCACAAAGCGAAAGCCACGAACAATTGTGGGATTAAGTATGTAAACGCTAGCCACTTGCGCTTTCCGCCCTCAGAAGGACTGGCTATTTGCTGTTGGGGACCTAGTTCCTCAAATTGGGAAATACTCTGTAATAGTATAGCTGAGAACAATTTACGTGAAACAGTACTTGTTCCTCATTATTGCTCTTTCTGAAATAGGCAACCCTGATTTCGCTCAGAAACGAAAAGAAATTATTGGCTTGCGCCCTTCCTCATTGGCACGCAAAGGTTGGTGAATGCCAAGCTGGTGGTGTCATCATGAGAAACGTCATCAAGCTACTCTGACAGAAATAAACCGTGCAAAGAAAAACGTCACTTCGATCGTCTTCTATGATGCCCTATGTAACGAGGGAGGATAGAAATTTATGAGTTCAATTGCGCTTCGGAAAGCGCCATGCACTCCGTCAACGGTAAAGGTTCTTGAGTGCGTGTTCAAAAAAGTGATTTGTGAGAATGAGTGCATTAATTCAAAAAGTTTCACCTTTCAGTCAAGGAATTTCTCCGTTTAGTCAACTGTCACTGTCGCATACCTTCTTAAAAGAATGATCCACATGAATTATATATAACACACTGAGGATAGTTTCTATAGTGCTGGGTTTTGAGCAAAGCTTTCTCGCCAGACAGGACTCGATCCCGCACCTCTTACCTACCGTTCAAGAGCGCAACAAGTTACGCTACGACCTTGTGGTTCACTGCCCATATCGGCTAACCGGCTCAACACGTTACACGTGTGAGTGCTGAAGATGGTACGTATACCATGAAAAGCTGAGTTGGGATGAAATGGTGCCCCGGTAGCGTAACTGGTAGCGCACTTGCCCGGAAAGCGAGAGGTGCGGGTTCTAGTGGGGCGAAAGTTTTGTTCACAACCCAGCATTCTTGTGAAACATTCGCAAGGCGAACTGCGGCCAAAAACAGCAGTTAACAAACACAAACTTTGAGGATAATTATTCGTGGCTTCCATGAAGAAAGTTCCTCTCGATTTTTCCACCGTTCACTAAATTTCGATGCTAGCTTCTTTTGCGTGCATGCTAATGGGAAATAAAATTCGAAAGGTTTCAGCGAGATAAGTTTCTTGAAGAAAGCGTCCTTCAAAGTTAACGTTAACAAATGGAAGTGGAATCGTGTTGAAGGCACACGGCGCGAGTGTTATATGAATCAGCCCTTGTAACAGGGTTAGAAAGGTTGAAAATGTGTCGTTTCCTCCCCCGTAGGTGAGTGCGCAGAAAGAAAGCTAGCTGGAGCTATGGCACATGTCCAAGAACTGCGATTTCCGCGCAGCGTCTCCGCAACCAGGTGTCTGCGTCTCGCTTGGTGACGTGCTCTTTCGATGTACTTTCTTTTCTCTCTGCTTGGCCCTAGTAATGCTGTTCACCTCACTAAAAGGATGATTTCAATTTCAAAGTTATCATGAAATTCTTCTAGTTTCTTCTACTTTCATGGTCCTCTTCGTACAGTTTCTCAATTGTGAAAGACAAAATCACATCTTCTGGTCGTAGAGCGTATCTTTGATGGAATGGATAGGTAGGAGCAAACAACATTAAAGCTGACGGGAAGGAGCAGCTCCCAGCAACAGTTTCTGGAGAGGAAGCTCTTAATTCGTCCCCTATATTTTGCCCCATTGAGGCACGCGGACATCTATTCCAGTATTTCTCTCAAAATTCGTGATTCCCCTCCAGTAGGTCCGTATAGAGCGGAGACAGGTTCAGTAAAGGTACAGTGGCCACTTTCTCCCTTCTCATTCCATTTGCGGTAGTCGACTAAAAACTGTAACTACTTTATGAACGTACCTCTCAGTAACCATGAGAATAATGCATCTCGCACTAAATTCAATCAGGCTAACGTGATAAGGATTAGCTAGTAATATGAGACTGCTACATTGAGCAACCTTATGGATGTAGAAGCCCTCATAACATTTCTGACGTCAGTATTTGCCAGCATGGGAGACAGCTGGGTGATGGTTTGGGAAAAAATGACACCACGATCTTGAGGGTTGTTCTATTTAAGTACCAGCTCTTGACTGAAAATTTATTGGTAATTTTTATGTGAACACGAAAGTTCACCATATACAGGGAGAACATGTTCACATTATGAAAGATGTACAAAAGTGGGAAAGATCCATTCTCACACACAAGACTTCTATTCAGAACTTGGAGCAATCCTGACGCTCACGAAAGCAGGAATCGGCTTCTTCTAGGGTCCCTCATCTCAACGTCTTATGGCACCCATCCAATGGGCCGATTTTCAATAGCTCTCCCTAGCGGTATTTAAAGGATCAGAATATCCAGCTTAACTTTACGTTATCGAGTCGCATCCATGAGATGAGTCTTTGCCACCTATTGCTGTCAGTGTTTCTGACGATGAGATATCTTCCTGTGGCCCGTAAACGGCGGCGCTGTTCATTGGTGTGCAACGCGTACGCTTCCTAGACTGGGCAATTTCCGCTCGCGAATTGTCACTGGCCCATTAAGCAACCAATTCGAAGCGTTCATTCGGGCCTCGGCGTGGTCTATGAGTTGTTTGTCAACGAGACGAACCTGCCACCTGGTCGCCAAGGTCCTTCGTCCACGAAACCTCGGACCAACTGGTTTTTCAGCTTAACCGCATGGCAGCATTATTCCTACCATACATCCACTTCATGCATACCACAATCGTATCGTGAATCGAGTGTCGTTGTTTGCCATCGCCGCCGTCGGTGAGCGTGAGATTTCGTCAGAGGGATTAAGAAAATCTAATGCGTAGAGCTATTGTTGAAAACTTCCAGTTCTATGTGAGACTATGTTCTGCTGAATAGCATTACACTACTGGATCAATACACATTGTGGAACCCGAAAGAGTATTTTCGCCACAGAAAACATCCCAGTTGATTCTTCCTGGAAGATCAGCCGACTTTCTGAACTTTAGAGGGTGGGATATATTATACACTGCGTTTCATATAATTATAGGTCCACCCTAAATTTTTGCTACCCCAAAGTTGCTGTGCATTTTTGGGAAATGCTGCTATCAACCATTCCTCATGACGGAAAACCTCTATAGTGACACAAAGTTCCCCCCTCAAGTAACCCAATTAACTTCTTGCGGAAGTATTTTCTTCAACGTTTCATAAATAATCTGGGTTCACTCTATAGATAGTTTATGCTTTCTCATTAACGTGTATAAGATTAGTGGGCAAGGGGGATATGATGTTGAGCTTAAGTCGACATCGGTTTATCAATACTCGTGGTATCGCTATTTCCGCAGGGTGTGATGAAAATATCGTCGAGGAACTCGAAGCGGGGGTCGTGCCTGTCGGGCTGGGTTATGGGGGGTCGTATTCTTGATGGTCAGAAACAGCAGTGGTATCGTGGTGCAGATAGGTAAGAGGGTATAGCGCAGCAGAAAATGAAAATATCCGAAAAAAAAATATTAATGATTAAATTTTCTTTGCAGGTTCAGTCGCTCCATTCCTCCACCTTCATGAGAAGGGCGTATTTGAAGGCAGTACAAAGAATGAAAATGCATCCCCGCAAAGAAGGACTGCCACATGTGCGCACGCGCTGCAAAGGCACCTCCTGCCTATCGCTCGCTCCTTCTCCCTTAATACCTCGCTGAGAATGACACTGTTGTTAGGGACCCTGTCGCAAAAACGACAACCGTGAAGGAAAAGCCCTGGGCAAATGAAGTTGTTCTTAGGTTGTAGGAGTTACGAAATGCGTTTACTACAATGCAGCTTCTGTCAACTGGTCATGATCATATGACACCTTCGAATCGATTCTGCAACTTCGAGTGAGGTCGGATGCATGGCCTATACTCATGACAAAATCCAGATATGAGGATTATACTCTTTCTGATTTGTCGTATATATTGAAGATGTTTTCTAGACCCATTTCAAGCGTTGCCAACAATTGCACTTGCAATGGTGAAGAAGGGAGCGGATTTTCAGTTGGCCGGATCCGTCCTCGATACATACTCGACGCAGATATCTTCTCAACTAGGAATGTAGAAGAAAGCTAAGAAGACCATCAGAAAGCGCAAACCTTCCGCTTTCCAAAACTATCTTCACTTTTTCAGGATCTCACGTTTTAAGAGAGATATTGCTCTTGAAGTGGCAAAAACTCGCGTGAAAATTTCAGCGTCCTCGACGTTTACTCGACGAAATTTGAGAGACCCTATCTTTCTGCATGGAAGACTTTCAGAGCAATTTCAATACTTCTTGGAAACGCGAAATCCAGCTCTATCTAACCCTACCTCAAACTGCTTCAAAGGTTATGAAATGGAAGAATGCAACCTTTTCATCGAGGGTGTAGATTTCGACGGTTTTTTTCGGGATTTCAGCAAATCTGACCCAGTGACAATCGCGCCGCAGCTGCCGTTGAATCGGCCGTTGACTGATACACTCGGCTGTTTCGATGTACTCAAGCAGGAATTAGGATTAAATCGCAACCCCGTGCCTTCAGGATTTCCGTGCATTTCTGAACGAACCCGACTTTGAGGTC